GGGGTTCTAGAACTTCGTGGATATAACGCTGCGCGTTCATGTTACCTCTGATGAAGATTAAAGGTGACCTGGAACCATAAGCTATAGCACCCCAAACCATAACTCCAACAGTGTGATGAACATGTCTTTCAACAAAAAACTGTGGATTCCTCCTTTCACCACGTCGCCTTCTAACCCTGGCACGACCATCGTGCATGCCTAAACAAAATCGAGACTCGTCACTAAAGACAATACTGTTCCATTCCTGATCCCAGAGTGACCGTTGTCTGCACCACTCAAGGCGATTACGTCGGTGTTCTCGAGTTAAAGGGAGGAGCCAGTGTGGCCGGTATGAAAACAAGCCAAAACTTCTCATTCGTCGGTAAACACTTCGCATGCCAATAGGTCTTCCGTGTTCTGCAAACCATTCATTTGCAATGGACCTGGTAGTGGAGAAACGGTCCCTTAAGGCCAATAATCTTAGGCGGCGATCTTCACGGTCTGTTGTTCTCCGGCGGCGTCCAGTCCCCCTTGCTCTTTGCGTACGGCCTTCTCGAAGCCATGCCTGACAACACCTAACCGCAGTGTCTACACTTCTTTGCACTCTAACTGCAATTGCCCAAAAGAAAGTCCAGCTTCCCGAAGTCCCACTATACGGCCCCTATTGAATTCACTAAGTTGACGAAATCGTACAGGTCTCCGTACTCTAGGCATCGTAACCGATCGTAAAGGATGTCAAGAACCAAAATCCGCCAACGTTGATTCTTTACTGCGGCTAAAATATTCATTTTTAGAGCGTTAGTGAATTAAAAAAAAAGCAGTATAAAAACCGGAATGTCCAACTGATAAGGCTGAACATTTTTTCACTTTACATTCACCAACTTTTATTAAAATAAAACCATTTAAACTGGGTGTTCGGATTTATATGTCACTTAGTATATAAAGTACTTCCGAAGAGAACAGAAAAAATAGAATTTTCTCAAAATCGTTTTAATTTTTCCTGATTTTATTTGTAGTGGTATTTAAATATAAACTCCACATTAACATTGCTACTTTTTGTCCTCCAATCTTATGGATAATTAAAATTTCAACATGACATTTCGTCTCATGTTTTCCAGCACCAACTCCATTTTTTCTTGAGGACACCATATTCTATTTCTGCACAGGTGAATAGAGTTCTCAATTCTGATTCTAAAAATGCGTAATATGCCATACATTGACATTGTCGAACCTTCGTTATTTAAAAAAAAACATTCCTAGGTAGGCTTTGAAATTATCAGACAAGAATCTGTTTTATACACCAAATTTATGCAAAATTTTTTGTATCTTGTCTTAGCTTTATTTAAGATGGGATTTGGGATAATTCTGCTCTAAAATCACTAAATATTGACCAATACAAATTGACACTAGTTTGCATTTGAAATAGGTACATACATGGACATATTGAAAGCAGCCAAACATACTTTAAGGAGTATTAGACAAATATAAACATTAAAATTGCGCAAGACTACTGGCACTTGTTTGGAAAATTGCCGTTATATGATTGCTTTGCTATTAAAGGGTCCTTACTTCTAGCTACGCTATATCATTTATATATTGTCTACCCAGAGCATTAAAAGGAACAAGGAACAATTCGATTAAAAAATAACTATCTTGGTTTAAGTTGTGAATGGTAGTATCAATTTCAGAGTGACTCATAATTTTTACAATATTAAGTTGTTTTGACAACTATCCAAGTAGTAATCTAATCTAATAGTATCTTAAAATAACCTATCTATTCGTCTGTTCGTCATGGCCTTCATTTATGCGAAGTGGCCATTTTTATTCATATAGCAGTCACTTGAGAAATGGAAGCAGTAAATCAATTGATAACAGCTGTTATCAAATTATACTTTGCAAAAGCTAGCCCGTGGAAATAAGTACGATGTGGACACCAGAACCAGCGGCGCCGGAAGTGGGAGGCAGGAGGGACCTCCTCCAGAATTTGCAATTTGGCCTCCGGGCTCTTTTTGGCTTTCTATAGACCACGAAGTAGGCCCTTTTTGGCATACAAAGCAGGCCCTATGATTGACTTGGAAGTCGATGGCGAAGCAGGTTTTAAAGGCGTCGCTATGCGGGTCCTGCAAAATCATAATATCAAGTATTGGGTGAATTTATCAGCAGGAATACTGAAAGGCGAAGGACATTTGGACTTGTTGATGCAAAATAGTGCAACAAAATAATTAATAATAATAATAATTGTCTTTATTGGTTTAACCAAAGGTTCACATTGCGTGCTCTTCCTCTAAATCTTACAAAGAAACAAAAAAAATGTAGAATTAAAATAATGAATGAGTTTAATGATCCAATCAATCAAATAATAAAAATTGAGTATACATTATGACATTTCATTCTTGATGTTTTTTGTAAGTAAAAGATTTAATTGTCTTCTTAAATGGAAGTTCCCTCAGCCCCAGAAACTCCCGAGGGATGTTGTTATATTCCTTAGCAATTTGGTAGCTGAAACTCCTTTCATAAATAGTGGTTGTATGGGTAGGAGGAGTGATGAGGAGTTTGGATCTAATATTTATATTGTGAACTTCTGTTCGAAATTTAATTATAAAGGTAGGTAGGTCTCTTTTGTGTAATAATTTTATCAAACTAGGTGACCGCAGAAATTTTGAATCTGTTTCTCATGTTGATCCATTTAGTTTCTAAAATTTTTTCCGAAATGTGATCATATTTTCTTATGCCATAAATATTTTGTGAGAGATTTCTGATCTTCTCTTTTAAGTTTTGTATTTTCTTGTCATTAATAAAAATACTTTTTACTTACAATTCATATTATATCTGCCTTTTTGTGTGCATACGCCAAACTGTCAGAATCTACAAACCCAGCTCTCTCGTACACACACTGAAAAACACAAAATAGCTATCGTGCGACGATATCTCTTTGGTAGGCCCTTTTGGATGAACCTTGGCCCATGGTACTCGCTCCGTCCCTAGCTCAAAATACTTCCGGCGCCTCTGATCGAAACTGCAGTTGTAAAGTTGTAGTAGCAATAATGGAGGAAGCAGATCCCGGTACTTGGCCACTTTTGATCCTTTTTGCCTATTCCATACACTAACGATGGACCTAACAGATTAGCTAGCACCAAAACTTGATGCTGAAAATAGATCACAATATCCGACCAACTTTATTGTCTGTCAAATGCCTTTCTTGCTGAATAAGCTCAGCTTGGAGGTCTTGATACACGACATGCTTGCTTAGGAAGTAGAACGATGTTTCGCCTTTATGGTAGGCCAAAGCTGGTAGTACAGTGAGAACTTAGTACTTCTTTGAGTGACGAGACCCCTATGTGGTGTGCGATACAGAGATGCCGGAACAAACGTCTAGTCTTCTGCTACCAACGTAGGAGTTGGTAGTATCGCGTTTGGCGAACTACTCACTTCACCTTGCTTGCTCACTATATACTGAGTGCTTCGATAGACCCAGCAGTAACCGTTTATCAGTGCCGACCCTCCTGTCCTTACATCAACGATAGTCGCTATCAGAAGTCGAATAAAGAATCAATGTGGTCTTACTAATGCTGAAACCAAAGTTGCAGCACCAAAAAAACTGGAACATATACGGTATGGCGTCAACGTAACCCAGATGTATTTCCAGATATGGACGCAAAGAAGCTAAACCACCAACGCAATCAAGTTGTCAACAAGAGATGGCTTTCTCGCTTGGAATTAGAGCCGATCAGGCGAGGTATTCGAAACTACATAAGAGGAATAGTTTTAGAGAACGCTCAAACACACTCAGATGATCAGTAGCTAGAGAATGCTGAATATAAAGATACATGCGATAGCAAATAGATCAAGATGAGAAGCAAAATATCGGACGAGACGATCAGAATGATAGTGAAGCAAGCGAAATGGAAATCAAAATCGAAGCAATGGGAGAGTTAGAACATATACAGATAGAACTTAGTAATAGAATAAGGTACACATAACCTTCTTACAAAAGCCCACTGTAGAGAAAAGACAAGCCGACGGCAGACGCAGAAACTAATATAACGGTCAGCAACGCTAAAGCAGTTTGAAAGAAACTGGTCACAGACGAGCCTTCCACCACTTACACGTCAACGATTGTAACCGACTCAAAGGCTAAGGCGGAAGTGCTGGCCAAGATCTTTGCTGCCATCTCCATCTTGGAAATCTCCCTCCACGCCCGAGTACCGGCGATTCAAAGGGTCCCTATACTATGCGGGAGGTCAACAGCATGAGACCGTAAGATGGGTGCTCTTGTCGCTCGACATCAACAAAGCTTCTGGCCCAGACTTGATCCTGTCGTTGTATTGAAGAGGCGTGCAGCGAAACTTCCAGTTTTTTCGACGAATCATCCCATAACTTCAACGCGGGTGTTCTCCAGGGATCGGTTTTGGCCCCGACACCGTTCATCTTACACATTGATGATGTTCAGAGGAGGGCTGTCGTACTAGTAGATGATTCTCATCCATGATACCGCCGCGCGGTGGGTCCGGATTAACAAAATGTAAAATGATGACGATGATAGCTGTCGCGGTGCCCTGGTATTTAGGCTTCTGCCTGCGCGGCTGCTTCGGTGTGACAAAAGGCTTTAGCAACCAAAAGAGAACAAGCATCATGACCACGAAATAGACAAAGTAAACAAAGTGCTAGTTAAGTGAGCGAAATAGCAGTGTCTGGATATCCAAGACATAAATAACTTACATGGACGTTGCTGCAGCAATCATTGCGGGGCAAATAGATGAACAGTCTAAGATGACAAAACAAGAACCACAAGGCGACAAAACCGAATCGATCAAGACAGAAAACACCTTTCCCTTTTGGAAGAACTAAGGTCAGGAGTAGTTAGCGATAGTGTCGATCAGCTGATCGACCAAATGGTGAAGGAGGAACATATCCGCCCATATAGACAGCTAAGGTGGAAGAACTCGGTCAAAAGCCAGAGCCAAACGGGTCAGAAGATACCAAGATCGTCACCTCCAATTTATTCATAATAAAATTTCCAGAAATGACACAAAAAGATTTTATCGTATAATCAATATGAAAGATTCTATCACACCACCAGACCCACGAGGAGTAGAGAGTTTCCGGAAAGATATCCTCGAAAATGACGTCCAATGTAATAACGAAGCAAAGTGAATCCAGGAGAAGAGCAGAACATACAAAACGGTACAAGAACAGTCGTGGACAACCCTTTCTATCGGTGACTTGCGCTCAGTGATACAAAAACTACACAACGGGAAGTAGCCAGGTCCAGAAAACATTTAAAATTGTTGGGTAAAGACACTTACGTCTTTGCATCGAAACCTCTTGAGATGTATTAATCAGTGCATACGCTTGTTTGATTTTGGTCTTATGTCTTCTATGATAAAACATATACCATCCTGATGATTACTAAAAAGCATGAAACATCATTTTGTACGGTTGGTTCATTTATATTTATTTCATCGTTTGGGGCAAATACGACCTTTTTCTATTCCTATGAGAGGGTCTGTGAGATTTGACACCAACAGATAGGGCGATTTTTATTTTTGTTGTATAGCCACAGCTTTCGATGCTTGACTAACTATAAGCATCTTTTGTTTTACACAAATCTGACTTCAATTTCCTTAAACAGTTCTCGAAAGACAGGTATGGCCAGCAATTTTTGGCTCCCGTATAAGTCAGAAAGAACTATGGTTGGACTTTACACTTTACGAGTAGCTTACTAATATGGTAACAGTTGCAGAGTTTTTGATATTAGGTCTGGTAAAGGCTAAGTAATCACCAAAAAGTAAAACCACCCCTTTTCCTTACAACGCCGATGGTGTTTGCTGTTAAGGTTTTGATGAAATTTTGGTACAATACTACTATTAGGGCTAATTATGGTAAGGATAAAAAATCTTTGTAGTTTTTGGAGTCACTAAAGTGGACGAGAATTACTGCCAAGGATTAGATTAGGTCTTGTGAAGGCTGAGTAATCACCAAAAAACTAAACTACCCCTCTTCCTTACAACGCCGATGGTGTTTGCTGTTAGGGTTTCTATGAAATTTTGAAACAATACTACTTAGGGCTAATTATAACAAGGATAAAAATTTGTTTGTGGTTTTTGGAGTCACTTAAGTGGACGACGATTACCGCCAAGGACTAAAAAGTCCTGAATTTTGGCAAGAGTGAAAAGCAGAGGGGTTGTAGGGGAGGACGAAAGGCCTACAAATTTTACTCCGTTTTTCGTTATAGAATAATGTTCAAAGATGAAAGCCCGACGTATTTTCCTTCATATTTCGCGATTCCTACCAAAAGGCAACACGACATTTTCAAGCCGTGTCGTAAACATAATTTAATTTGACTAACCCAATTACGAGCGTGAAGCAGCGGGATGGAGTGGTCGAGGTTTGCACGTGGCCCTCCGTTTTAGATGCCCTGATTGCATTCAGATTAATTCCCCATTTCTACTCTGATTCATAGGAAATTAGGTGGCACTTCAGTGCTGATTAGGTAGCTGTAGCACCAAGATGGCGATCATATTAAATTCTATCCTGACGGCCTTTAATATGTCTTCTCTAACTGTTCACATTTTGTAGCTATTTTCTCAGATTGCAGCTTATGATCATGAAATGACCAGACTTTTCAGTCAGGGAAAAGCTTTTGTAGGCAATTTCAGGCAAAAAGCTTGATGGATATACGAAAAATAGAGGAGATGTTTTAGAGGGTGATTCCTTGTCCAAAAATATGAAAAATAATTTCTATAAACATGGGTCCTGAATGCAGAGTTTCCAAGGTACAGGGTGATAAATTTAAGATTTTTTTTCTTTTTCATTAATATCTTGAAAAATGTTTACTCAAATCGGTGATATTTGGCAATATTATTTGTTGTATCAAGAGACTAGTTTAGACCTAAATGGATTAATATTATTAGATACAGTGGCGTCCCGGGGGGTACCTTAGCGAATATTATTGGCAAAAAATGTACGTCACTGCCTTTCTGGTAACTTTTATATCTGCTGTTTGCTTAAGCATCTAAAAATACAACTTAACTACCTCTTGTATTTTTTCGTTTCTCACTTCGTTTTCGAAAAAAAACGTTTTATTTGTTTCACTGGACACAAATTGGTTTACTAATTTTTGCTAAAAAAATCACAAGTCTGAAATATGATGAACATGGATAATGTCATCATGATGTGTTAGCGCATCATTGAGTACGTACAAATGTATTTGTCTTTCACCGTCTAAACATTATGAAAAGCACATGACTGCATTAATGAGGAACATTTTCGAGTTGTCTTTCTATTAATTTTTTTCTGGCTTCATACTTCAATTCAATTCAAGTATTAGCTTATTATAAAATATAGTAGCACTGTATGGTCATTTCATCTCGGTAGCCTTCTTCGAAGTATGGTTCAAACAATGACAATTGCGATACATTTTATATTTGTCATTGTCGCTGGCCTGTAGGCGTGAGGAAGTACTAGGTGCGCATCTATTACTTTTTTTACCTATAAGTTTATGTGTTACCATGTGAGTCAAAAGTCATGTGGTATGCATAAATCAACTGTTAACGGTAAACTTCGCACTAGTTTTGGCCGACATGGACGCTCTACAGAGCCTAGAATTCGTTGGATTGTTAATCGTTTTGAGGAAACTGGTTCAGTTGAAGGTCGTAGACCATACCAACATGCTCGTCCAGCTCGTGCTCGTGAAAACATAGCTGCAGTGAGTGAAAGTGTGCGAGAAGATCCAACCACCTCGATTAGGTACCGTTCGCAACAATTGGGAATTAGTGAGACGACTTTGCGCCGGATTTTACACACTGATTTACACCTCCATCCATACAAAATCCAACTAACACAATAATTGAAGCCGGTAGATCATCAACAGCGGCGTGTTTTTGTTAATTGTATGCTGGAAAGAGAAGACGGATTTTCGGCCAAAGTGCTATTTTCTGATGAGGCTCATTTTCACCTCAATGGGTACGTAAATAAGCAAAATTGCAGATTCTGGGGGGCTGAAAATCCACACCAATATCA